TTTCAATGGGTTTCATAGGGCTTCAGGGTTTAGGGTCAAAGAACGATATTTACAATTTCCTCTTCGATTTCACACAAGCCTCGCAGACAGATCTATCCCTCGACCCTGCCCGCTCTTAAAAGAACTGGAAGAAGCCCATACAGAGCAATCCATTTGATGTTGCCGTTTTGGATAGCATGCTTGAATTCTGAATATATGCACCGGTCCAGCATGAATTTTAATGCACACACACACAGAGTGAACCTGGAACCTTTAAGTTTCTTGTACGTGCCAGCAAAAACTGTAAAGCACTCTTCGTGCGTTCGTCGTGTGAAGGCCATCGCTCGCTCGAGGGGCTTTGCTGTGTCGGAACGGCAGCTCTTCGACGTGCCTTGCACGGGGTTTCAGAGGATGACTAGGCTCTACAGGCTGTTTCGAAGAGCAGGCGGAAGGAGTTCATTAGGGGCCAGAAGAGGGCATTGAACAGAAAGTAGTGACACCCACCCCTGATAGAGAGGCTTTCGGTGTCACACGCATAGCCGTTCAGCGTGTCGGGTTTCTGGACACTGAGTGCTTCGGGCGCTGGGCTTGAGGGTCTTTTGCTCAGGTTTTAGGGGCATGAGGTGTTCAGATGTCCGTGGTTCCGTTTGGATTGCATGCGCGGAAATTTCAATCAACGGCCAGATGTGTAGACCCTACACCTGGACATGATCCCTGAAGCCGAAGTCTAAAAACCCTGACCCTAACCCAGAAATGCAATGCTACACTGCAGCATGAAGGGGAGACTTTGGCTGGGCAGGCTGAAACCCTTTGAGATTTGTCTGCCCCGTGCGAGCGCAAGGGTCGACAACCTACATGATTCGCAGACGCATAATTCCTCAAATCCTGCGGTTGTCTCACCCCTACCTCTACCGACAGATCAAGGTGACCTCGCCTCGCTTCTTAAGCTTCAATTTCCCACCGCTTAGTTGCCTTCGCCCAACTAATTAAGCCCCAATCCGAAGCTCTCTACGTGCCATCGGCAAAAGTTTGCGAAGCCTATAGGCCTGAGGCCTGAGGCGAAACTTGAGCCCACGAGCCCACTAGCTACACTTTCACCTCGAAGTGGAGGCCAAGAGACTGCTAAGACCCAAGGCCCCGGCCGCCTCACCTAGCAGTTTGAGGTCCTTGACATCAATGGTATCGGCACGGTCACTCTGAAGGAGAGCGGGAGGCTTTTGCCAGTAGCCGGCTCTCTAGTGCTTTTTCGAGGAGGTATTGTCCGCATTGTTGCCGATTGGAAAGAAACCCGTCTCGTTTGACTTGCTCCGTCTTCTGGCTGTAGCTGTTTGCCACTTTGCTTTGGTCAGTGTTCGTTCGTCTATTTCTGCTGTCTTTGGGATGTTTTGGGTCGTTGATGACGGCTGCAAAGTATTTTGGGGGTGGTTTTCCGTCCCCACTTGGGTGCGGTGGTGTTTAGGCTGGTGATGGAAGGACTGGGTGGGGGTTCTGGCTTTTGGAGTCGAGCTCAAAGGTAACGGCCTAAACCTTGTGCTCGAAAGCCCTAAGCCCTAAGCCCTCACCCTGGTAACCTGCTCCCGGTCAGGAGTTTCGATTCTTGGATTATTGGGCCCACAAGCGCCTAAAGAAGCCTCTGCCACCCGATGAGGCGGAATTGGCAATGGGAACTGTACTTCTTTTTTCGTTCAGGTGGCGTTTGCAGGCGGTATCGGATTTAGGATTCTTTATGCCATCTTCCGCGGGTCGAAACTTGAAAGCCTTATAAGTTAAGCCATGGTTGTGTGCTTCGGGTTTGAGGTTTTGAGTTTGCGGTTCGGGGCTTTGGTTACTTCACGGCTCGGGGTGTACTTTAGGATTTGGGGATTAGCGGGCCTTAAGCCTGTTAAAGGCCCTAAACGCTCCTTGCGCCACCGACATCATAAAATCTGAACACCCCAGCAACTTAAATCCCTGAAGCCCAAGGCTCTAAATGCTGAAGCACCACATTCGATACCCTGAAGCCGCAGCCTTTCTTTTGCTGTGGCAGGCGCCGCCCGAGCCACCGACCTCCCCGAAGTCGGAACCCAGGTGCGCAGCTTCGTAGATTGAAATTTAATGCCTGAGGGTTGATTAGGGTTGGGTTTTAGGGTTTGAGGAGGGGTCTTGAAAGGTTTGAGGTGTGGGGGAACTCGGATCGAGGAAGCCTTGGAAGGCATTGATTGGTTTCGGGTTCAATCGGCTCAGCTTTATTTCGCAGGTCCTCTGTAGGGTTAAGGAGTCGGGGTTTTGAGGTTCTGCATTGGAGCTCCGCGAGATCACGGGCTCAATACTTTGGGTTCCTGTGATTCGGGTTAGGAATGCTGGCTTCAGGTTTCCATGTCAGCATTTTTCAGAACTGACAATTGGTTCCCTTTTGGGTTTCGGTGGGGTGTTGAGTAGGCACGGTCTAGGGCGTAGGAATATGAGAGTTTCAGAAAACCAGGCCTAAACAGCAGGACCCTTGTTCTGCAATCCCATATAGAGAGCTCCGAGATGTTAGGGACGTTGTTTCTAGATTTGTGCGTGTGCGTTGGCAGTCATGGCTTTGAGCTCAGAGTTCGGGTTTAGGGTTTGAACAGCACGGTTTCAGGGTTTTGGTAACAGGCATCAGGTCTTTTGCCGTTTCGCCCTTGGCATTCTGGAGCTCCCGAATACCCTCTACAGTGACTCTACAGCTGATGAGTGTAGAGCCGGCCCATAGCAAGTTTGTTTGCATCGGCAACTGGAACTTCAGCAGATTGCACCTCGAAGAATGCCCCTCCTACTGCAACTGCAACTTTGGCTCGAGATTTCACACACCCAGGTTCACTTGAACCCCCGGCTAAGGCACATGGCAGTTGTGCATGCAGCCTACTCTCGACGATGAAGCTCTAACGCAGCCCTCGACCCTCCACCTTACGTGCAAACTGTTGAGAGCCGCTACCCTCTTGCCTTTGTCTTTTGGCTTCAAACCTTGATGACTACAAACCTCACAGCCACCAGCTCCAAGACTGCACCCTTCTATGGCCATGTGCTCCAGCCCTCGAAGTATCAGGACAGTAGATCCCTTTAGACCGAAACCAGAAGCCCTAGAGCCCCAAGCCGTAATCCTGAAAGCCCTCTGTGGAAGAAGCACTATTCCAACCACGACCCTGAAACCCTAAACCTTGGGAGCCTTTAAACCCGTGTTCGGGATGCTTCACGTTTGGCGAGCCTCCGGAGAAGAAATCTGTGCCGTGCCCGTGGCAGAGTTGACGGATGTCCGAGCCTTGAAGAGGCCATGATGTGTTGGTGGGGTCCTGAAAACAAGGATCCTATTGTTGAGGGTTTGTTTTCGGCTCCCGTTGTCTTCAGAAGCTGAACTAGGCAGTTGGTGTCTATGATTTCGGTTGAACTTCTGAAGCGACTCCTTCCAAGCAATGGCTTGGAAGCCGTTCCTACATCTGTGCATACATGCAGGACCGTCTCTATCCATCCATCTGCCCGTCTCGTCTATCTGTGTGTCTATCTCTCCATCAGCTATAGCACCTACCTACCTACCTACCTACCTACCTACCTACCTACCTACCTAACCCTACCTACCTACCTACCTACCTACCTACCTACCTACCTACCTACATGGCAAGCTGTCTATCTCGCTATTTGGCTATCTACGTATCTATCCATCCATCCGTTTATATATATTATTATCCATCCTTTGTCTATTTAAACTATCTGTCTAACTCTATCTATCTATCTACCTGTTTGTCTATCTATTTACGTGTCTATCTGTCTACCTATCTACCGATCTATCGATCTATCTATCTGTCTGTCCGTCTATTTTCTTTCTGTTCTATCTACCTACCTATCCATCTACACAGCTTTTTGTCCATGTAGCCATCCATCGATCTATCCGTCAATTTATCTATGCATGAAGATATGTCTGTCTATCTGTTCATCTACTTCTGTGAGTATGCATGCATGTATGCATGTGTGTATGTGTGTGTCTATTCATCTCTGTATGTTATGTTATGTTATGTTATGTTATGTTATGTTATGTTATGTATGTATGTATGTATTGAATGTAATGTAATGTAATGTCATGTCATGTCATGTCATGTAATGTAATGTATGTATGTATGTATGTATGTATGTATGTATTTAGTATGTATGTGTGTATGTGTGTATATATTGTTGTATGCATGCATGCATGTATGCATGCATGCATGCATACATATATGTATGTATGTATGTATGTATGTATGCATGCATGGATGGATGGATGGATGGATGGATGGATGCGTGTGTGTGTGTCTGTGTGTACGCATGTAGGTATGCATGTATGTGCATGCATGTATGTATGTATGCATGTATGTCTGTATGTATGCCTATGCATGTATATGTGTGTATGCCTGTGTATGTATGCCTCTGCATGTATATGTACGTATGCCTGTGTATGTTTGTGTATGTGCATATGTAAATGTATATGTATGCAGGTACGCATGTATGTATGTATGTATGTATGTATGTATGTCGACAGTCGCGATCCCTGCTTAGATTGTAGTCGTAGTTGTGGTCCTTCTGGTACCTCGCCTGCAGCGTCGAGTGCGAGTGCTAAAAAATGTATGTATGTATGCATGCATGTATGTATGTATGTATCTATGTGTCTATGTATCTATGTGTCTATGTATCTTTGTGTCAGTATGTATGTCTATGTGTATCTGTGTATCTGTGTGTGCATGCGCTGGGTGCTTTCATGGTGGAATCTAGCCCAAGACATGGGAAGTAGAGAATTTCCTTGGCGAAGAATGTAGAATGTCGCAGATCGCACAGGCGCTTGCACCGTCTTTGTGGTGTGCCACGCTTCCGGCAGAAGCTGCCGCTTGTCTTCTACGGAGGATACGGGTTCAGGCTTGGGGTTTACTTCGACCCGCTCACTCTTCTTCGGTTAGAGGGACACGCGCAGCAACACAGACTTCAAGAGTCAGAGTGAAGTCTCAGCCCCGCAAGCTCTGCCTTCGAGGCTGGTCTGGAATGGTGGCCTAATGGCCGACGAGGTCCTGTTGCAGTCACCGATGGATCTTCAGCTGATCCTGCTGCCTTTTGCCGAAGCCAGCGAGGACTGCAACATAGGGGTGTCATAGGTGTGTGAAGGGCTTCTGAGAAACAAGGGCGCTGGGGTTGAGTATTTTGCTAGGTAGTACCCTTATAGCATGTGTTTGGTTGTTGGGGGGGGGGTCCACGTCCTTTTTGATCCTGAGTGCTGGAATAGTCTTACTCTTTTTTATTCTAGGCGTGGCTTGGGAGTCTGGATATAGGGTTGAGGGTGGGGTGGATCTAGTTGCGATGTCCTGATCTTTTTCGAACTCCCTGCAGCTATCCGGCCTCCCCAAAGAGCTGAAGTCTCAAGCCAAAAAAAGCCCCAAACCCCAAAGCCTCCCTCAAAGTACCACCCTTTTGCTAGTTATATTCCCATTTTCACTTAATACCTACATGGTTCTAGCTGCTGAGGCCTCGAATGAACTCCCTAGACTTTCTAAACCCACTTAACAATCCCGCCACATCCTGAAAGCTTCACGCCTAAAATCTGGAGATCAACTCTATTCTTGGAGCCGACAAGACTTGAAATCCAGAAGCCTGCAACCCCAAACCACCAAAATCATATGATCCTAAAGTCCCGAAAATCGCCAAACCCCAGGACGACATCGACGATCTAATCGGAGCTTCTGACGGTGGCAGTGTGGAAGGAGTCGAAGCAGTGCCCCCTGGGCTTTTGAGGCATTCCTTGACTTTAGAGGTACCTGATGGTCTAGAGATTTGGGGCTGCTGATTCTTCACAGTGTCGGATGGTGCTTCCTTTGGGACTAGGTGTTCGGTTCGCGTGATTTAAGGCTGTTGGGCTGAGGGATGTTGCTGGCGCAGGGTGCTGTAGGATTTCGGGCATTTAATGGTTTGAGATGTGCGGGTTTTAGGGTCTTGGTGCTGGGGTTAAAACTTTGATAGGTTACGATTTTGTTGGCTGGCTTTGACGGGTTGGGGTTTAGAGAAAACGTGCCTCTGCACTCGTGCGATGGCAGGGTGTTGTATAGTTCTGAAGTTTCACGAGGCGAACACTAGAGCTAAGGCCGATTTGGCTCGTTGTAGTGTAGCATTCATTTGACGGAAGATATGTTTGAGCTTCTGGACCTGAATTGTCAAGTTCTTCGTATACCTGCTCCAAGTTGCACATTAGTTAATTTCCTATCGTTGAAGCCATGATCACCAAGCCATCCTGAACAGAATATACACTGAGGTTAAATCGTCCTCAGAACCCTGATGCGATGCGCCTTGGTCGCAAAAAAGTGTGTTGCGACACTTGGAGTTGCGGCCGCTTTGCTTGCGCTTTCCTTTTTCTGGTAGAAGCGTTTAGGTGGAGTCGACCCCTATAAAATCTTGGCCTTTGAGCTTCCAAGCAGCGGACCAGAACAAGCCCATCCCATCAGCTTCATTTGCGTGCGATCTAGTATATCGCCGTAGTTTATCAGCTTTCTGAAGGTTCGATATTCAACCGTATAAAGCCGTATAAGACCCAAGTTGAACCTCGAGTATAATGTTTAGGACTTTCTCTTGGTCAGCTTTGGGCCTGTGATCTCAAGCTTTCGACTAGCATCCTGGGGATCCTTGAATCTTTTGATAGAATAATTCCGGGCTCATACGGGAAATAGGCATTGATTGGAGTTTTCGGGTTTTCGGTGTTGAATCCGTTTGAATGTTCGGTCCGAAGAGATTTTAAATCCCCGAACGCCAAAGCTTCCGAACCGTGCCCAGGAATTCGAAACGCGGCTTCTCCGCCCTGGGACGTGCAGCAGATCTGGGCCATGTAGAGGCTGAAGCAGTTCGGAGTGTTAGAGTTTAGGGTTTGATGCGGTTCAGGGTACTTGAGCCTTAGGGTTCGAGTGAGGGTTTCAAACACAGTGCCGGGCTTTAGGGCGGTGGCTCAAGGCGAACACTGTGGCAGCGATGACTACCTCAGAAGTTTCAGGTGAATGAATGCTTCTGCTTTGTCAAAAATCTCAATTGTGTCTTCAGGGCACGGCTAGTTTTGCACGGCATGTGTTGTTTGCACGAAGGTATAGGGTCAGATGAGTGCAATGGTAATGGGGACGGTCGGGAAGGTCTCTGTGCTCCTCAAAAATGGCATTGACCAAACCTTGAGCTGAGGATGTTTCAATTCCAACTCTGACCCCGAAACACCAAAACCCGGACGGAACCGCGAAACTCTCTGCCCTGGGAGGTTGCGCAGCTACTTCTCGAGGCAGGCGCCGATCCGGATCTTCAGAGCATGAACGGCTTCTCAGCATTTCTCATGCTTTGGGAGGTCATAAAATCCTGCGAGGACCTGCTTCATGTCTAGATGTGGGTATGTGTGCATTAAAGTAGTGAGGCTTTCGTCGGACCTGGTAATGATCGATCAAGGCAGACTCGACGGTTCTTCCCACATGCGCTGCTAACTACCTCAGGCCCAGAGCAAGAATTAGTGTTTTGAGGCGGCTGACGGTTTGGGAGTTGTGGAGCCTTTGTGTAGGCGGCGGTGTTAGTTGCGGATACCACATTGATGTGGTAATGCTGTGGCATTCTTCTTGAGATCTTCCCTCCCTTGTCGTGGATTGTGGGTCAACGTGGTGCCCGTCGCGGTTGGCCTCCTGCGGAGCCCCTGGCTTTATGGATGTTTTGCTTTCCCATGGATGTGCCATTCCGGCCACCTTACGGGCACGCGGAGTAACGGAGGTGGGGCTGATATGCTTGTGTTTGTATCTAGGTTAGTTGAAATGCGCTGACGACCTCCGAAGCGTGGTTTTGTTTCATGCTGAGCGGGCCAATGCCTGGTAAGCAGCGAGAAAGGCTGTCTTAAGCTGAGATACCCGAATCGCAACCCCAAGCCCCATAGCCTATTGCCCATAAAATCTCGGGTAGTCACACCAAAGCCTCCTTGCCCTGTACGTTGCGCCAGCTGGCCTGCATTATCCGTTATGTTCCCTGTGCTCTAGACCCTGGAGCTTTCGCCAACGCCGAGGCTTTGGCCATGTCTTGGCACCGCTCCAAATCGCAGCTGGGTTCCCTTTCATCCTATGTTTATTAAGATGATGATGCCTTGTTTTGGAGGGGATTCGGATGTTCCTTGACTTGGCAGAAGGTTGCAAATCCGCTTGTGGGTTCCATCTAAGCTTTCATGTATATATGCAGTAGATGCATCAGTGAATCCGTAAATCGGTATATATGGCCGTTGATGAGGCGATAGAACCACGCACGTACAGACTTACCTGCCTGCCTACATACATGCAAACATGTGCGAGAGGAAATGGGACGAAGGCTGTACCCTAACATGACAAGTAGAAATACCCCTGAACGGGCATTTCCCTGGCACATCTTTGAGTGGGGCTAGGGGTGGTGGTGGGATGTAGGCATTCCAGGAAGCTCCGTCGACTGCAACTTTGGTTTAACCGGAAACCCAGTTTAGCAGGGCCTTACACTTTCGTAACAAGCCCTTGAAGTGGATCCAGGGATCCAGGATAGAAGTCCCAAGACCCTCGCAGTGGTCACAAGACCTCTTCACAGCCCAGCCAAAAGAACCTCAGCATTCCCGAGCCAACAAGCCCATAAATGGTCAGGCGCTCCGCGGCCCCCCCCCCCTCCCCATGGTCTAAGGTCCGGGATGTGGGGTCCAACTTCCCCGGTGTGGTTGTGGGGTTTTGGGGTTTAGAGTTTAGGGTAGAGCTTAAGCTTTTGAGTTTGGGGTTTAGGGTTTAGGAAAAGGTATAAGGCTTCGAGTCGACAAGGGCTTGGGGAGGGTTTGGGGTGTAGATTGGTTAGGATTGACCGTTTATGTTCGGCTTTAGGCTTATAGCCTGCATTTAGGCGGGGTTTAGGGTTGGGTGTAGGTTTTAAAGTACATCGGGCTTGCATACGATCCCGGCTGGCCGCCCGCCAGCAGCAGTCACCCTCCAGCTGCAGCCGCAACGGCCCCCCCCCCTTTTCCCCCAATTCTACCAGACCATACCATTGGGGGGGGNNACGCCAGACGCCTGACCATAAATGCCCTAAGCCCCATGCCAAACAGGCCGCAAGACAAGGGCACGTGGAGCTCTTGCGGCTTCTTCTTGAGGCAAGAGCAGATCAGGACTGACAAAGGGTACGGTGTCAGTGTCGGGTTCCGGGTTCAAGCTCAGGACTTGTTGAAGTCTCTTGGAAGGGGTCTTCGGACCGAATTGGGGGCTCTTTAGACTCCTGCAGGTTCTGCAAGGGCACGTTCGGAAGTTAAACATCAGCACGTAGTTGACTTCTGAAAAGGCTTGACATGCCGGCTGGCTCTGGATGGTGTCACAGTCACGCACGCGATTACACAGCGCAGAAAGAGTTACCTGCTCTTTCGGTCGTCATGTCTCAACCGGGCGGCTCTAGCCGCTGAAACAGTTGCAGTCAGAAGTTGCCGCGTGTTGACAAATTTCCTGTTCACATTTGGACGGGCTTCGACATCGCCTTCCGCCCGAACCCGAAGACGCAGCTCGAATAGGAGACTCCCTTTGCAGGACACCAAGCACAGTCACGACATGACTCCATTGGCGATGGCCTTGGAGATGCTCGAATGTCGAATGTGTATGCAGAATTTCCACCTTATCATTTGCAGTCTTTCTGATGTCGCCTTCGTTTGTGGTGACGTGCTCTTACAGCTAGCTAGTACATCATCTTGATTGAACCGCTGAGGCGATAAGACCGACTACCTGGTTTTTGCATCGGACATGTGAGCCACAAGCGTCATTGCTTGATGTCGACGATTGCTGCCTGCAACGGCGAGTGGACCACAACAATTATCGAAGCCATGCTTCCGAACGTGCACAGCTGCGCCTTGAGGGTGTGCCCCTCAACAAAGTCGCACAGCATCCCAGGATGGGTCACACCGAGAGCGTCAGCGTCCTTGTCGCCGCGGGCGCGGAGCAGCCCCGAGGCACCTCAGCCAGCGAGGCCTGGGATGCATCAAGGAGCCTGTCGTAGGGGCTTAGGATGCTTCAGATTCGGGCTGTAGGGGCAAGCACACACTGCAAAGGGTTTGGGTTGTTGCGGGGTTCGTGGGTTTGGGATCTTGTGCGATGCGTGACGGAGCAGCCGTAACCTGCCATAGCTCCATATGTAGCGTCCACCGGATGGGTCGAGGGCTTACCTTTGCGGTTTACAGTGGATGTTAGCTAGACTGCTAGACTTGTGAAGTCAATCAAGCATCCAAGTATTGCGTAGAGGCTAGGGGACGCATGCCCGAGTTGCTGGTGATTTTTTTTGGAATTGAGAGAACACGCTCCGAACCCCAATAACCCGTCAGCGCAAAGTTACAAAGCGGCTATGCAGGCAGAAAAAAGCAAAAACAGGCAAGGAGGCGTAAGCACACAAAGCCCTGAAGAAACTTGTTGGGTTTTAGGAGTAGCCTTTCGTGCTTTGCTTGGGTTCAGGTGGGTGTAGAGTGTGGAGACCGCAGTGAAGTGGGCAGAACTATCTAAGCATCCGTCTTAATCCTCAGGGCCCTCAAATCGGATCCTTGCTGTGGCCTCAGTGCCATGATACCATGTATTTCAAACCGTGGGCAGACCCTGAGAAATCGACGTGGAATTTACAACTCCCCCAGCACGTGCCACTAAGGCCCGATCAGACATCAACAAACAGCTCCGAACCAAGCCCTAAACGCTTAAAGCCGAAATACCAGATCCTAAACCGTAATAGCCTAGACCCCAAATCCCAGATCCTGGCGAACTCAGTCAGACAAGCAATGCTGCAGACGAGACAGGCTAAAGTTCTAAGCCCCAAACATTTGCTGCAACAACCTAAACGACGAAGCCTTGTCGAAAGCAGTCCGGCGGTGAGTGGCCGAAGCCACTGGCCTTGCGCGCCCAGGTCTCTTGGGCTTGCTAAGGTGTCGGATTTGACGTTTAGGGTCCATGGGTTTACATCTAAAAGCCACAGTCCCCCAAAAAATGACTTTAGCTTAGCGATCGTAGAAATGGCTCTTCTTGTCAAGAAACGGATGCCATGTGTCTTTGGTGCGGAACGGTGTGGATTTCGTTCGGCCGTCCGCCCTGTAGGTCACGGTAGGAATAGCGTCCTTTGGCCTTATTGCCTCGAGATTCGATTTGCTTGTGGCAGCCGGTTGTTATGTTTACTTGGGAGTTGGAAGCAGGGGTCATTATGGAGTGGTTCAGGGGCTCAAGTTTTTTGGGTGTGTTGGGTCAGGGATACGAAACTCTGGATCCTTGGACCCGGTTCCCAGTATTCGAACGAACAACAGACCCGAACCCGCGATGTCAGGCTCCGAAATAGCCCAAAACCAGCCCTAGATTTCCTGGATCCTGCCTGCCAACTGTTGATGAGCCGCAAAAATTCTTAGCAGTCAATCCCAGAACTGCCCAGAACTTACACTCCGAAACCTCGCGACCAAGAACAAACTCCTACACGCTCAACCCCAAGATCCCCATGCACGAAGACTTTTCTAAACCATGTTAATCTCGAAGCAGGTTGTGGAGACTGCTTCCCGGGCCTCTGCACCGAGTTATCCTGCCTTTCCGTCACGCCGGTCTTGGGCGAGTTGGCTGTGGGGCTCCTGCTGGGAGTCTTGAAGCGCCGAAAGGTCCTCCTTCTGCGGTCCCATAAGGAGAAGGGGCAAACGTGCGTTCCTTGAAATTGGGGGGGATCCTTATATATTGCATCAACAATCATACTATTCAGCCTTTGCTGGGAGTTATGATGGGCCCTCCGAGGGCTTGCACTTTTGGCGGGTTTAGGCCCGTGGGACTGTGGGAGATTAGAGCTCAGCCAGTTTGCATTGCGCTATCGAGCTTCGCTCATGATATTGGTCTTCGCGACCGGTTCAAGTCTTGCCGAACACCCAGAAGCCCTGAAACATTAATAGGCCCAGCATCTTAGACCGCTCAAGCCTTGCAAGCTCAAAGTTTAAGGTCGCCAAGACAGATTCAACTGGCCTAGAGCTTAATTAAGCGGCCTAAGCAACTAAGACCCAAGGCCGGGGAGCCAACCTAAGGGTGCCACCTATCCTTAGACACAAAGTCCGGTCGGGCGTTTCTCGAGCCTTTCTGACCGCTCCTGTGAGCAGTGGCCTTGACAGCCTAAGTCGCGCGCGGACAAAAACAGAGACATCCACGAGTATCGCACGATTATGGTCAAAGATTGTGAAAATAGGATTCAGGTGAGTAACTACCAGAAAACTGGAACATCTCCATCCTCAGACCCAGATGGGAGAAGAGGGAATCCCAGCAAGAAGCGTTTGTTAGTCCATTTTCTGACTTTCTAGTTGTAACGGTAGCAGCGCAAGGCTTTAGCCTAATCACGAAGCTCCCCACAGAGCAGTATTGCGAGTGTTATAGGGTTTTGGTACGGCACCCACGCAATGTTGAATTCTGAATAATTACAATGCCGATGCCTTTGCTCCGGTTGATACGACGTTGATAGGCCAGAAGCTTAGGGGAACCCTCAACACCGGCCGATTCCTAAACCCTTATGTGTATTCGGCATTAGTGCACACACACGTATCTTCCTAAGTTAAGTCATATACGTGTCATTTGAAACTCGAGTCGCAAGACGAGGTGGACTCATGATCGCGGACCAATACATGGACCCTCCGTACCATGGCACACCCAAACCCCAAACACTCATGCCTCTACATCGAGGGCTATAGTGGCGGCTATAGCTTCCCTACTTCCCAACGGTTCCGGATTAGGGTTAACGAATTTTTTGGGCACGAGCATGCCGGAGGGAAGTTGCTCTTCGGCGTTTGCGAAAAAGGACAATTCCAATACTGCCTCAAATCCAGTAACCATGGTCATGGTCTAACGTTTTGTGTGTTCAGGGCACGGCAAGGGAAGTCTAAGACTTCGGTGGGGTGGAAACTGATTGTATTGACACCAAAGACCAAAGACATCCGTCAGTTACGCCTCTTCAGGTTTCAACAAAGGCCTGCTCTTTCAACGGTACTTTCTCCTTATAAAGCCGAGTAAGGTGCCCTAGAAGCCCTCCATGAATATGGAAAATCGTACACACCTGAGAGCCTGGGACCAGGTCCCCCGTCGCCAAGAAGTCGCCACGAAAGCGTCACGTCAAAGGCCTGACTGTCCTTGTAGTAGATCCATTTACCGATGGGTGGCATAAGGGTGTTATGTTTAGAGAGGCCATAAAGATTAGTTTTAGCAGGATTTGGTGGGGTTTTGTCAGTACTGCATGTGGGTAGTTCTTTGAATGAGGTTTCCGTGACGCTCCCATATGGTGGGTTGCTGGAATCTGGCCTTAAGGAACGGCAGCCCGCTGCGCAGCAAACCGGGCTGGTGTAAGTTTAGTGCGCTTTCTTTGCTGAGGGCTTCAGGCGCTGTTTCTGAACTATAGCGTCTTTATACCACCTCTTGCTGGCAAGATTAGGTACCTTCAGCCTGCAGCAGAGCTTCAGTTGCTGTGCGCATAACCTACACTTTGAAGCCCTTAGTTAAGCCCTAAAGCCTTAACGCCTGAAGCAGGGCAAAACCCCAAGACCCCAACGCCAAAGGCCGCTAAAGGTGTATACAGCCGTTATGCCATTCTGATGAACTCCCTTTAGAATTCGCACCAAGACATTCAAAAAGCAATGTAATTAGAACTCTTTCAATTTCAATTCGAAAAACTCACCAAGCACTTCCAGAAACCTGCGCAATCCAATACCCGACATCCCAAAGTCCAAGCCTTCTGAGATTTCCGGGCATATCTGGAGCGGCTGTTTGGGGGCCCGGGCGGTGCGGGCCGTGCCTGGCGCACAGCTCTGGACGTCAAGGCGACTGTGGTTTGTTGGGCATTTAGACCCGTAGAGGACTCTAGGGTTGGGCCTGAGTTCTGAGGGTGTAGGGCTTTGGGCTTGGGGTTTATGTTTCGGGCTCAGTGTTCAGGGGCTTGTTTTTGGATGAGTCCTAGTTCGATGCCTTAGTCTTGGGTCCACGTGGACCCTTCCGAAGAGCTTCTCACTGGAATGTTCGGGTTCTCATAAATAAAGCAACATCCCGAGAAAGGTTTGAAGTTTTGAAACCTCAGCCTTTAAACACCCCTCTAGTCCTAAACGCTATCGCCACCCTCGCGAAGCTGCCCGGACCCAATCAACCCCTCCAAGCCACAGCCGTCAAGCTACAAGACTTGGGACTAGGCTTTCGAGCACAGGGTTTAGGATTTCGGGGTTTTGGGTTTACAAGATTTAGTGCTAGGGGATTAAAGCTTAGGTTTAGGGGTTTGGGGTCCAGCAAACCCAGTAATTGAGTTTTACAGTTGCAGGGGCCCGAATACAGCTGATATAACCCACCCTCCCCAAAAGTCACGGCCTTGCTTGATTTTCAGAAACCCCAAAAGACCCACTTCGGGACGCCATACTGGATGTGAGGCATAGCTCGGTTGACCCCGGAGAAAGAGAGACAGAGAGATTTTTCTCTGTGGAGTCGCTGGAAAGATTCGTCCCTGTCACAAACTCGACAGCGGCAGAGATGCAGATCCTTTGGCACCCGAGCATCGGTTCAGCGTTAGCGTTGGCTACTTTTACTTGGAGTGTCTCGCGGGATGCTGGGGCCTCAGAGGACATGAGTGACAAACTCCCCGGGGCGCCCCTCTCTTATGTTTGCTTGTTGTCCTGCTCTGCGGAATATCTCATAGCGTTTAAAACCTTGCGCTTTATTTAGCAATTCATTGCAACTTTGTTTGTTGATTGTGTTGCGATCGGTTCTTCTTTGTTATATCTGTATTCATTACCATTAACTACTACTCCTGTTATTCTTTGTTACCTCTCTTGTGTATTTTACCGATATCTTACTTGAAGCATATTTCATCACATCGTTTAAACGGGGTTCTGCCATAGACCTTATACCTTATAATGGCTTCAAGCCTTTATTTAAGTCCTTTTGGGTAGTGTGTTTTCTGGGTTTGGGTGTTGTTTGGGCTGGGTTTGGGCATGGGGAGGGAGCGTCACCATAAACCCACCATGGGCAAGGCTGGGCGTGCGAAGCGCAATGCATAACCAACTTCCTAGACCATCCCCAAAACACAAAATGTGTGAAAGAAGGGGCGCTTTTTTACACGAAGGGGAAAGACAAGACGCAAAGATAACAACAAAGATATTCGGGGCACCCCCTTTCTTTTAAACATCTTCCTACCTAGACCAAGCCACAACAACCCTGAACGCCTAAACCTAAAGAACCCTGAACACCAAAACCCTGAACGCCTAAACCGACAAGCGGAGGAAGTCGCACCGTTGCTTCGTAGTCCTTGAAGAGGTCATCGTTGCTGTTGTCATTGACCGTCATGTTTTTAGCGAAAATATTCCTTATGAATTTAAAGTCCATAGGGTGAGTTTGGGATTACTGATTTTTTGTGTTGTGGTCTGTTATACTTATTAATTTTTAGGATTTTTTAGGATTGCGGGTCTACTTTGGGATTTGCCTACATTCTTAAGACTTCGAAATACTACGTGCTGTGATTTTTTATTTAGGGTTTTAGAGGTTTGTATTGCCGCCTTACACAATGAGTTACAGATGCGAGGAACAAGCGATTTCGCGAGAATCACCTCTTCCTGCGCCCATCTTTTCAGAGCGCCATGTCCTCGGGGGATTCAACCCGCCCATGTTGGAAATCTAATTTACCTACGCTGGAAATGTTATAGGAAATTCAACCCACCTACGTTAGCAATCTAAGCCACCTCCGTTGGAAATCTAACCCACCTACGCTAGAAGTCTAACCCACCTACCTTTAACCTACCCACGTTAAGCGTTGTCCTGCGCTTTTGCCTCACCGAGCTTCATGTGCTTCACGTTCTCCATCAAGCGCTTAAAGTCCGTTATGGTTTTGAAGCCCTCTTTCCTGAGCAAGGTGTTGAAGGAAAAGACCAAGCAATAGCGTGTCAGATGTTTGATGCTCTCCGCCTCATCAAAGGCATTCAGAAAGGCGACGCCCTTCTCTCCGTAAAGGTGATTTGAGCATCGCGCGACTTTGCTTTCAAGACTTCTGCCACCATTAGCGAGCATGTCAATGGCGTTGTCAAGGTTCTGAATGTCGTTGGCGCAAATCAACTCAACTCATGGGGTCTTTCTCCACAGTCTCCATCAGAACTCTAAGCGTCTCTTTGATTTCATCGCCTTTGAACACAGGCGACTGCTCGGTGAAGGTCTGAAAAGCGTTGACGATGGTTTCTTTGTGGTAACCTCGCCCCTGAACTTGAACGTTGATGCTCATGCCGTCGGTGATGCCCGGTGTCGAGAACAAAGCCCTTGACCGCGACAAGTCAAGCGTCCCATGGGTCAGCATCGACTGCGTAGGCTTTTGACCTTCAGACTGAAGGCGATAATGCGACGAAGCGCTCGGCGATGGTCTCTGACAAGGCGATGTTAATCGTGAAGGACGCTGTGTTCTCAAAGGCGATGGGGGCCTACGGTGAGGGTCTTCTTCGCTTTCTTTTCTTCCTTTTTCTTCTCAGCGTCCCTCGTAGCGGTGAGCTTCTTCAGCACTGTCTTCATTCATGAGCTTGCGTTCATTCTTTTCGGTGGACAACTCGGACATAAACTTCTTCATCCTTTGCTCGTTCGAGCTCCTCTTTCGTCTTATGGCC